ATAAATTGAACACTAAAATAAATTCTTTATGCTACGCTTTCGAAATTCCGTCAGCCCTCATACTACTCGTGTATATTTCGCGAATGTTCATTCTCGCCTGAGATGGCATACTATTCTGGGGAAATACATTTTATAGCTCCCAGACTTTTAGATTACAAAAACGAATTGCACGAATAATAAACAAATCCCACCCATGTGATTCTTCGGAGGTTCTCTTTATTAATGTATGTATTTTGTCATTACCTTGTCTCTTTATAAATATGATTTTTGTCAAAAATGACTTAAGGGAGGGAATATATTTTCAGCAAAAGCCGATGTATATAACTACAACACTCGACGTAGTAATCATATTCATCAGGTGACAGAATCAACAGCTCACTACAAAACATCACAAATAATACATGTACATTATTTTACAACACCTTGCCAGATGACATTAAATTCGATACAAAAGTTTAAGTCCCAAGTAAAATATTTTCTACTGCACAACTGTTTCTATATAATTAGAGACTATACCGAGCATCCAAAAGGAAAGTATTATTAATTTTAACAATGACATTTAATGTATTATTTACCATTTGGATTGTATAATTTTAAAGAATCTGTAACAAATATTGTATTTCAGTTTTGGGGTCAATGACTCCCATCTCGATCAGGTTTTCGTTCAGTTTCCCAGATCCTTGAGCAAATGCTGAGATGGCCCCTTGTTTTTCTTCTGGACATAAATGTAGCTTAAAATTAACTTCTCCCCGTAGCACGTCACACACAGATTTTAACTGTTTTCGACGTAAATAAATAAACTCGTTCACAATTATAAAGGTATGCGTTGTCACATGCTCCTTAATATACATTTTCTCTAATCACACTTAGAATTCTTTACTGAAAATCTCGGTCCTGTGAGGGACCAACACGGTTGTTGTTTCCACCAAGCCACCGAAAATATCGAAAAATTTTATAAGAGAAAATGGAATCAAAATGTCCTTGCACTAAAAAAGTATATATTGAATCAAAATACAATAAACTATCGTTCAAAACTACATTTTGATTGAAATTATTATATGTTAGTAAGGAAAAGAAAACCAACAACTTAACAAGTGAGTAATTCTTAATTGCCAATTACAAACAAAACCTTCCGTTACAAATTTAATGCTGCACAAATTTGAAATCAGAGCGCCATTTTCCTTAAGACACAGCCATTATATTCCGTGTAACAGACAAAAAGTTAAATTTTGTCGACCAGTTTTATCAGTTTCCCTCGAGGCTGAGGCGCTTCGGGTTGCCCTCATACGTTTTGATTGGTGCACGGGAAGTGGCCTAACTGTGAGTGACGGATCCGCTACCTCCAGATACTACTCAATACGGTATAGGGTTTATTTCCCCCCCCTCAAAATACAGAAAAAAGTAAATATTTGATAATAAAAATTTGGAAGATCCGCGAAATGAAATGTCTAAATATATATTTTTTTAAATTTGTTGTTGTTGTCTCACCACGCACTGGTTCGGGGTCTCGATAGTGTTTCCAATTGCTACCTGGAATGTTCTGTCTAATAAATATTCCTTAATCCACATCATTGTTTTCCGCTTATGAAGAGCAAACATTCAAAAAGTCCATTTTACTCCTTTTCGAGAAAAACGCAATGTTATGACATCAAAATTATGCAAATGTTTTAATTGTAATCAACTCTTGGTTATGCAATACTGATAGCAACATATATTATTCATTATTTTATGTTTGGTCCAATTTTAGAGCTAGTTTCGTGTCGGACACGTCTCGTTTTGAATGAACACTCAGGACGTCTTGATTTGAATGGAAAACATTGATGTCAACACACCTAAAAAACCTAATTTTAAGTTAATCATGAGATTTTTTCATCATTAGTCCATGAAGCAGTGAAATGCAAATCCAGTTTGGTGACACAGTACATGAAAGAGCTTAAAAATCATTATATAATTTCAAAAAAAGTTATTTTAGATTTATTATATTTATTTTAATATACTTAGTTCTAGATATTAAAAATAATTAAATTGTTGAAAAATTAGAAAATGAATGAAATGAAAATTAGAATAATTTTGAGATTTAAGTTCTTGGTAAAAGAAATTTTAAAAAATTTCTTACAAAAATTCAATTTTATCTCAAATATCCATCATGACATCACAAAATGTAAAATCCCTGACATGTTTGCATCATAATAACTACAAAATTAATGACCCCCCTCCCTTAAGAGTGTGATGTTGTTTAGTGATGGCCCCTAATTCCTCTTTAATGAAATTCATAAACTTATAATGGGAAAATTAACATTCTTTTTGTTGCATTTTTCTGACAAAGCTATTATTGCAAATTTTATTAGAAATAAGTATATTATTTATTTATTATTCTGGTAAGGCCAACTTACACAATTTTATACAAATCCATTGACACATTTGGTGAAGAAAGACCTCTCTCATTTTTTCTCCTTTTATCAGAAAACAATTATTTTTGACATATTTTTAAAACAGATGCCACGCTTCCTTACCTGGTTCGAGCACTTAGCATTTCGTAATGTTTTTTTTCTTCCATTTTTTCGAATGCTCGGTAACAGACATCTTCATTTCCTAGGCTCAGAATTATTGGATAATATGGTGGGTTAATATTTTCCTCTAACTGAAAAGTAAATAGTGATATTGGAGCAAAATATTTCACATACAGAAATAACATTTTCTGGTCTATTTTGTGGTCATCTGCTTACTGACTGATTCTCTAAAATACGTAGTTGTGGTGGAAATTTCAGGAAATTGAAAGTGAGTGAGGATTAGAGAAAATATCTGGAAAAAGTAAGCATTGTTTCTCTCGAGGGGAAAAATCCGCAGTCTCAAGCAGCATCAGAAGAAGCAAAGGGACGTGTCAAGTTATGAATGAAAATGCTATGAAATTAATGAACAAATTTCAAAGTGACATGTCCTGGTGTGTATGAAAACAGTAGTTTTAAACTGAATTTATGTCGTGTTTTTTCGTGAAAATGAAGGTCTGAGGATATATATCTCATCAAAATTAATTCAAATCTTAGTATAACTCGTTTTTGGCGAGTGATGAATGCTTGCTTGTCATATATCCAAGGATGAGTGTGTTTGAGAAAAGTGGTGCTTCAACGCCAATACTTTTTCACTATATATGTAATGGTTATAATATTATACTACTATTTGAACTTGCAAAATTGTTTGCCCACATTGAGATTTGAACTTGCATACTTGGCTTTAGCATGCCAGAAGAATATGTGCTCAGTTCGCATAACCACCTTCCTGTGGCTTTAAAAAGAAAATTAAACAGGTGTAACATTTATTAAGAAAACAAAACAAAACATTTAAATATCTTAATATGAAGAAGGTACATTAAGAAAAAATCTCCAACTTCAATATTGAAGTTCTATGCAGACTGAACAAATTTGAACATTGGCAAAGAATAATAACACTGAAGCATTACAATACTTTCTCTTGACTAGATTAATATGTAGTGTGTGAGAAAGCAAAACAGTGAAGTTGAAGGCTGATAGTTATAATGGAAAGTAATTTCATTTATTAGCCCGAACTAAAAACATTTTTTTTCCTCTTTCTTATTTTCATGTCATTTATTACAGGCTATCACCCAATGTTAA